CACCCCCCCCCCACCCCTATCAGCACCTCCATTTCAAGACTTCTAGATATGCCACTGCTCTAATCCATATAAGCTCTGGCAAAATTTGTTATGTTCGCACTGATGATGAGAGTTGTATTCTTGAAACATGTTTGCTACATCGGGCTCACTATTGAGCCCGCGATCAGGTTCACGATTAAAGAGAGTTGTTTGTATTATTAAATACCTTGTGGTGTTTTTACTTAATCAAAATTTTGGTGGCATTATTCATGATACATACATGCGTGCACGCACGCACGCATACACCTGCACACAAACACTACCCCCCACACACACACACACAAACACACACACCCCCACACCCACACACACACACACACACACACACTTCATAAACTAACACTGCTACTGTATTTTATTTTGCTATTTAGTATTCCATATGGAGTTCAATCCAGGCAGAAAATTGTTGATATTTTATTGCAAATTATGGTAGAGAGTACGGGATTTGATGTGAGTAAAACACTGTAATTGAATTGAATATTGAATTGAAAATTTAAATTGTAAACATCAATATGAAATTCATATATATGATATACTTTAAAATGCTTCACTATGTACTGTATGCAATTTGCAGAGTAATTCTGTTTTAATAAAATTAATGTATCCTAAAATAACAGTAAACAGTAGTAAGAAAAAAAAAAAACGTAATTTATTATAAATTTGTAAACAATCCTTTAACTAAGCAATTACAAGAAGTCCAACAGAACCAGCAATCCACATATAAAACAAATTTATAAATCATTTTTCGTCCATAATATGTCAGGGTTCCATTGACTAAATGCCTACTTTGATTACCTTATTTTCACTCACCATGAACTGTTAATTTTGATTTGATTTGTTTTGATTTCTTCTACAGTCTTGCATTTCTATTTCATTTCATGTTTATATTAGATATTTTAATACAATTTTAATGATAGTTACTTATATTAAATAATATATAATAATGTAGATTATCTTCATCTTCTTTCTTTTCCAGCCTACTCAAGTTGGCTTTTTATTTACATTCCTTGCAAGACAAATGGCAAAGCATGAAAATACAATAGTAGTTAATAGACTACTGTTTGAGCAGGCTAGTATATTCAATTCTTATATTTCATTTTGATTTTAAATATTATATACTGACTGTTTTGTCATCCAATTATTATTGATTTTATAACATGCCAATAAATATAATTATAATTATCTCTTATAGCTCCATGTTCCTGTTGTATTAAAACATTTGTATATTTTATGAAACTTTCTATCATGTTCTTTCTAGTTTATAGATTGCTGAATTGTGTTGTTTATAAAATACAGTACAACAAATCTGATTTCATTAAGAAAAATATACATTATCACTTTGAAAAACGTACGCAAACAGACTTTTTTGATGTTATTACTTGGTCGATGCAGGTCATTCCTCAAATCAACTATTCGTAAAATGGATGTTTTACCCCATAATATTACAAATAATGTCTGAAAACCAGGCTGATGAGATTACTTTGCTGCTGCTGTTAGCATTGTTGGAGTATGTTTTTTCCAGCCAGAGGATGGTAATAACGATGGCACAGCAACAATGCCGGCTTAGATACACGTAATCGTGTCCTTGTAATCTGAGTCGACTTTACCGTTAAGCAGGTTAATTTACCGTTAATCTAGTGAAGTTAAGTAGCCTAACGATAGGAGACTTAAGCTGACATAATTGACTGATTCATGTCGAACTGGTGTAGATAAATGGATCTGTTATCTAGACATAAGTTTGACATGAACCAGGCTGATCGATATTTAAAGGAGGGGATTTTGCTGACACAAATAATTATAGACCAATTTTTGTATTGCCATTACTTATTAAAATCATTGAAAGGGCTGTTTATATGGTTTATTATGAATAACATTAACAAATTATTAAACAATGCTCAATAAGGATTTCATTATACTATTCCACAGCAATAACTCCTTTGTTGTTTTGACTATACTTCAAGTAATTTTAATGAAGGTAGAGTAACTGCTGCTGTATTTGTTGACCTGAAAAAGCATTTGACCCTGTGAATCACCAACTGCTCATTAACAAATTGCACCATCTTAGTCTTGATTCCATGGTATTATACTGTTTGAAATCCTATTTATTTTGATATCAACTATGTAGATGTGCAAGTTGTCTACTTAATTCATTTCACAGCACCTCAATTGTTAAATCATGCAGATAATTTTAATTTTTAGGTTCTGGAGTTCTTGTGCAGTGTTGAGACCAGTGTCCATCATGCTGAAAGACAGCAGGCTTTGCTAGAACTTCTCAATGCTGGTGGCTTACAACAAGTGGACAATGCTAAGCTGTTAGTACTAGCTGAGAAAGCACAATTGTAAGTATCTCATATTTTACCATTTGTTACTTCTGTTATTATAGTTGTAAATACTGTATATTTAAATAGCCACTACATGTATAAATTTAATTATGGCTACATGTACAGTACTCTCCAAACTAATTAAGAATCTGAGAACTCAGAATTTCTACAAAAAGAAATGTGCTCAAAATTAATTTGGCATTAGGCTGTGAGAGCCACATTTAGAAAAATGTTTATCATTTAATTTTATTTTTAACCAGGATTCTATATGTGAGATCTCACCACAAAATGAGTCTCATGGTTAGAAATTCAAAAATTGTGTTATATTTGGGTAAATCACATTATAAACTTTCATTTGGTCTTTGAATGGCTTCCCTACTATAAGTAAATCCAGAGATGTTAGCATTTATACTTTAGGTGTATAAGAGCCACGTTTTGAGAAAATCAGCCTCAAAGATAAACTAACCTGTACAAATAATATGACTAGAATTACAGAATATGTGCAGAGAACACTGTTTTGGCAAGAAATATAAGTATCAAGTTATTCAAAAACATTAAAATCAAAATTTTTAAAAATGTTGACTTTGGCCTGTTTTGGTGAATATCTCAATATGATTTCACCAACGATGCCTCTCATTTCGTGGTGACACCTCACATTTTTATCTTTTATTAAAAGTTTTCAAGTCTGTGAGCTTTTATACCAGATAACTTCACAGTATAGTAAGATTTTCCTATGTCATCTTCAAGATCCATCTCGCAAGGTAAGGTAGCAACAAAATTTAATATTTTTTTTAACATTGATATTACAGTGACATCAAACAATTACATACCCTACTTTCCAAACATTGTTTGTAATTGAGAAAATTGTTAATTCAGAGAGTTTGAATTTTTGTAGCAACTCGGTTATAGGCCTCAGACTTGTCATGGGAGCTACGATAAGGCCAATATAAAAAATATTCTTGTGTTGGCCACATTTTGGACAAATCCAAAATATGGGTAGGTCAGTAGGAAATGTTTTTTTTTTTTAATTTAATTTTTTTTTTCACCAAAAAGTAAAAAATACACAAAAATACAACAAAGACCATTTTAAAATCTATATTGAAAAGCAAAACAATCTCATAACACTGTCGCATTGCCTACCGTCGCAAGATAGGTCTATTCCAGCCTTTTTAGCTCATTAAAAAAATATCTTCTGATGTAAAAAAATTTCGAACATTTTGGGTTGGTCGGGCGTGGCACAGTAATTTTTTTTATTTGTCCTAACTGGGGAAATTTTTGTCATGAAATATTAGATTTTACTGGTTTCTGCAACAAAAAGATACTGTACTCACTCTGGCATATTCATTTTAAATAATTTCCAAATATAGCATACATGCCAAGTTCGACTAATTTTCAGGGATTGAGACTTTTGTTCTAAAAACTCACTCCCCTAGGGGGAAGTGTTCGGGGTCCCCTAGATACCTGTTGAATGCATTCTTTGCTACTTTAGGGTTGTATTTTTACAACTGAAAATCTGTTAGACTTTTTACTTGAATGCATATTTCTGCCGTCCACAATTGAACCTATCCCACTGACATGAGCCACGTGTGGCTGCTAGTTTGATGCAGCTAGATTGATAAAAAAAAAAAAAAGCTATTAAGAAATATTTAAATTTTTACTTAAGAATACATGAGATACCATTAAAAAAAGTAAAGTTATATGATAATACTGTAATAAACATTTATAGTTTGAGCCGTGCTCTTTTATCCATGTTGTCAATTTGGCTGTTTTAAACATTTCTGAAGACAGATCAAACAAATGTGCTGATTTGTTGGTTGTTTCTAACTTCATTGTAATATTCTCTGAGAAATTTGTATCTGACATGATTTACTCTGCCAGAAAACTGTAACCTGTGCAATGTGCCTGGACCGCGACATTGTAGGCAGCTCCATTCGATTGAATGAGAGTGTTACTTAAAATAGAAAGCCAACCAAATTTAACCCTGGTGTAGTGCGCTATTTATTTGTGTTCGAATGTATAATAACAAAACCAATTCCACTTTAAACACAGTAGATGATAAATATGTTGTGAGAGAGCTACAAATTATACATATTTTTTTTATTATAGGCAATATTAAAGTTATGCGTGAGATTTTGGTGCTTAAGCGTGAGACAGACCTAAAATGCGCAAGTCTATAATCTTACCTTACCTTACCGCTCCTTTCTCCTAACTGTGGAGATTGAGGCTTTGTTGAGTAATGTTTTTCCATTTCTTCCTGTCTCTGGCCACTGCTGAAGCTTCACCCCAGCTTCTCCATCCAAATTCATTTTTTTCTTTTTCAGTTGTTCTTCTCCAGGTGGTTCTTGACCTTCCTCTTATGCTCCTGCCTTCTGGGGTCCACATGATAGCATGTCTGGCATAGTTACCATTTTCTTTTCGAAGGAGGTGTCCAATCGATTGCCATCTCCTCTTATGTATATTTCTTGACTTAGCTCATTTGTATTAGTAATTTGATACAGCTCTTCATTTGTTATTTTCATTGGCCAGCGTATCTTCATTATTTTTTTCAGGCATCTTCTTTGAAATATATTGAGCTTCTGTTCGTCAGCTTTTGTAATCTTCCAGGTTTCTGCGCTATATAGTAGAACCGAGATAATGTTGGATTTAAAGATTTTCAGCTTGGTCTTTTTCTTATAAATATTGGAGTTCCAAATTTTATCAAGTAGTTTGAAGGCTGTTTGTGCAAGTGCGATTCTTCTACTTATATCATTGTCAGTACCCCTCTCTTTGGAGATTGTTGCACCAAGGTAAGTGAAGTTGTCCACATCTTCTAGTTCACCATCATCCACTCTGATTGTTTCATCATTTCTGTTGTTGATTCGCATTACTTTTGTCTTCCTTTTGTTTATTCTTAAGCCTATATTTTTTCCTGCAATGCCTAATCTGTCTGTTTTAATTTGGAGTTGTTCTTTAGTGCTGGAGATCAGTGCGATGTCATCTGCATAGTCGAGATCTTCTAGTGTGGTGTGTAGTGTCCATCTTATTCCATTTGTTCTTCTGGTTGTGTATCTCATCACCCAATCTATTGCTAGTGTAAACAAGAATCCAGACATGACACATCCCTGCTTAACACCTGTATCTACTCTAAACCAGTCTGACAGTTTCCCTTCACTGATTATGGCACTTTCGCTACCATCATACCAATTGCTTATGATTCTGATGAACTTTTTTGGAGTTCCATAGCTTTCCATGATCTTCCATAGTTTTTCTCGGTCTATGCTGTCGAATGCTTTTTCAAAATCGATGAAATTGATATATAATGAGGTATTCCACTCTAAGCTTTGTTCAATGATGTTTCTCAACTTAAATATTTGTTCTGTTGTTCCTCTACCTCTTCTAAAACCAGCTTGTTCAAGTCTATAATAATCTTTATTTATTCATAAAACTCTTTCACCCACTGGGTGTTCTTACAAAAGGTACATAAATACAATAGTATAAAACTTATTAAACTAAATTAAAAAATGCACATTGACAAAATCAATTGTATAATAACAACACCATAAACAATCAAGTGCAAAAAAGAAAAAAAAAAGGGAAAAAAATGTCTAACAAACTTAAAAACAAACTTGATTTAAATCAAAATTATGACAAAGCTACAATGAAGTAAGGGGGCATTTGAAATAATAATAATAGTAAACCAAAGTGTTCAGTTGACCAATAATATGTTGAAATTATTGTATGGGAAAAATTTCATTAACAACAGTGCCAAATTATCGAACAGCTATGGTGTGGACCCACTCAAACTTCAGTTAAGTTTGAAACATGCGGTGCAACATTGAAACTGTAGATTCAACGAAAGTTGTTGTAGTAACGCCGAATGCATGAACCGTGGTGTGTATGATATTGACATGATCATTAATAGTAAAACAAGAGATACAGTATTTTTTCCTTCATAATGAGTGATTTACCACACCAGTTACATTCTTTGGAAAAAGTGCCACCAATAAACAGAAGTGAGTTTCTCCATTCCTGTAGCTCCCTGCTAATATCTGTTGTTAATTTGCTATAGAATTAATAAAAATTTTTGAACCAATAAATCAACATAAAACTTTCTTTAAAGAAAAAAATCAATTGTTTGTCACCGAGATATATTCTAATACAGTAACTGAATTTGTTATTAGTTTTTAGCTATGAAGTCACAAATATCTTGGATAGTGGGTACAATTAAAATATCAAATAAAACAAAGATAATCTGAGATTACAAATCCTTACCCTGTTGCGCTATATTTATGTACTGAAAATATATTGGCCTAGCGTTGTAGGCCTCGCGTCAATCAATCGGACAAATTTGCACAAATATCACTTTTGATACATGGTAACAACATGTAAAGCTAGAATGCCCTGAAATTTCAGCATTTATGTATGATTACTTTTGGAGATATGGTTCATTGAATATTGTAAACGGGACAATACATTGATGTCGCAAGTCACTAAATTTAAATATATTGATATATTGTTATATAGTATTAAGATAACTTACGAATATAGGCCAAATCAATAAAACCATTGGACTGAACTTTTACCTCACTACCCCATTACCTCACTAATTCAATGGGCACCTGTTGAATGTCTCCTTAATTATTATATATGAAGTCTTTGACAGGACAATAGATAATTCATGACAAAAAAGCCCAAGTGGTCAACTCCTTACATTTGATTTATAAAATAAGCTCAATTGAGAGACAGATCATTACTAAATATAAGTTAAGTTCTACCCCCAAAGTTGTTTTATTATCTGACCAATAGAAACTCCCCAAAATGATGTAATAGTCAAATGATTAGGATAAGGGGATATCTTTCAACCAATCAGAGAAAGTCTACCACACCCCAAGCTTGTATGAAAAGTAAAGTATTAGTTATCCAGAAAGACTTCCTTCTGATACCTTGAAGGAAACACTACGTCTCACAACCCTACTTGTATATATTGTATATATCATGCAGTAGAATAGTAAATAAACGCTTTGTATTATAACCGGAAGAGATGTAGTCAGTTTAGTTATTAAAGTAAACCATCTTGCTTGTCATATCACTACAATCATAGTGAAGATCCAGTCTTTGCATCCGGAACATTACAATATAATTTAAAAATAAGGAGGTGTGTCACTTTAAAATCAGTTAATATAGCAAATTTTGTTTATTGCCTACAAGAAAAAAAATAATCAACATGATCACATTCTTCTAAGAATATTTATTTCCCGACTTAATTGTGTCGCAACATTTGATGAAACATGCGTTGCCGGGTCATGCAGTTGGGTATTGGGTGTATGTAATAGCATTATATCTGCACTTCAGGTAGTAAATTGTAGGTGGCTTCGGTGATTGCAACATATTTTAAAGACACGTGAAGTTAAAATAAAACCTACGTTACCGAAATATACGTTACTGTAGTATTTACTAAGCCCTATGTAAAATTAACTAAAATCAAATATTAAATATTCAAACTTGTATGATATTACTTTATTGAAACATATTACATCAGTGTAATACAATGTAATGTAACACAGTTGTGTTGAATTCGTGAAATCAATAAACAATGAAGTTACATCTACCATATCAAAAAATAAAACATCCTACAAATTTGTAGTGGAGGACATTTATCCTGATAATCATCAACATGTTTACTTTTTTTTTTTTTTTTTTATTCATTTCAAGACACAATGAACATTAACAGTTACAAAAACGAGAAAAAAAAAACCATTATAACTGAAATTAATACAAGACGATTCAATTTGATATAAAAATAAGTATTTAAAAAATTAGAAAAACAAAACTAAAATAAGTTAAACTAAACTAAACTAGAGAATGGCAATTTCCTTACTAAAATACAAATGCTGTATTTCTTAATTCTTAATAATATTAACTTTTTAAAAAAGACTAATTTCAATACATACATCATGATATTACGGTAACATTATGTATTTAGCCTAATTGCTTTAAATCACTAACAATAAGTTGTTTAATTTAAAATTATACAACTACAAAAAAATACATTTTTCCTATTATTTTCTTTTTTTTTTACACAGTACCCAAAAGCACAAAATTTGCTGATTAACGTTTTTCAAACAATTTTTAAGAGAGTTCTTTATAAATTATCCTTTAATAGCTCCCATTTTCTCTGGAACTTAAGTATTGTATTTCTTTTAAAGGCAATATTTTTTTCAACTTTATAATTAAATTTTAAGCGATTCAAAAAGACGTGAAACATAGGTTTTCTTTGTGCAAATTTGTAACTGAATATTATTTTTTTAATTTAACAAAATACATAAAGTTAATAGCAGATGAGGGTGTTCAGTATTAAAACCAAATAATATAGAGTTGTGGTCTAGGTTAATCTTTGTGTTTGATATGTTTTCCCACCATTTGCTAAACTTATCCCATAATTCTGTTGCAATATTACATTCAACCAATAGATGTAACATTGTTTCAACACGTGAATGACAGTAGGAACACATGTCGTTGTTTATAATCTTCAGTTTAAATAATCTACTATTAGTTGGCAGATAATTCATATTTATTTTATACTGAAAGATCCTATTTTTTGTCTCTTGTGAGCAATAATAATAATATAAAATGTATATGTGATATTTATGCATTTACATTTAAATTTACCATCACAAAAATACAGTTTACTAAATAAAAATATGCAAAAGTGCCCAAAAAGTTTAATTATAGAAAAACTATCTGCATACTATTGTGGAGAGCAACAATGAAAGTATATTTGCGATGCGAATTAGTTACATTTTACAGTAGAATTTTATTTTATAAATGCATCGTAACATAGGTTTCATGAATGATTCTTAACTGTTTCCATGTTGGTGACAAAAATAAAAGTTGACAAGGTTACGTATTGTCATAATTAATTTTTTGAGTTATTAAGACAATTTTGATTTGACTTTTTTTTCGAAATTTTTGAATAGTGAATTGGCAGTTTTTAGTGGTTTTGACCCTGTAGCATTAATTTAACTGAAAGTAATGACAGTGTACGCCAGTGTTGTAGCTGGAGATTACTGAATTGTGGCATTGACAGTTTACTATGTGTTTTAGCACTGAGATTGTTGTAGCAATGAGAGTGTATGATAGTGTTGTAGCATTGAATGTGTACTCAAATATTTTAGCAATGAAAGTGTAGCAATGATAGTGTACTCCAATGTTGTATCATTGAGATTTTACTCCAGTGTTTTAGTATTAAGAGTTATTCCAATGTAACATAGAGAATGTAATATAAATGTCATAGAAATTTTGTGGCATAGAAATTGACTTAAATTTAATTGATTTCAGCTTGAGGTATTCTCCTTCGTGCATGGAATTCTATCTTCCACAAGGTATACTGAGGACGAGCAGAACTCTGTGAAAAAGGAGGTTATTGATCATCTGCAGGTATATTTTAATGAGATTTTCTCAAATCTAAAAATAGCTTTTAACATATACAAGGTTTAAGTTTTAAGTTCTTATTAAATTCCAGTGAATCTATAAATTTTAATACATTTTATCAATGATTGCTGTGTTTGTACTCTTGAGTTGATGGTCCCATTGAAGAACATTAATATTTAATTCAATTAGTTTACTACATTGAAATAAAATTTCAAATTAATAAACTTTGATTAATAAGCATTTTAATAAATTCTGTCTGTAGGATCTTATTATGATTGACAGCAAGGAGACAGCTTGTTTGGTGTTGTCAGATTTTTCAGACTCTGTGAACAAGATCATCAACATGATCAAGGTAGGAAATCTTTTCTTTGTGTTTAATGTTGATAACACACTACATTTTACTATATTACAGGAATAACTATACTAAGAACAGTTTCAATTTTTATATTAAATAGTCCATCATATATTTGTGTGAAGATTGTTCTTATACCTTTGTGAATATTATTATTTGTCCAGATCAGTATAATGTAAATACAAGGCACCAAATAAATCTTTTCTACTGGACTTGCTTGTTTATTCAGTAGCAATATTTCGCGTCCAGGTTTCTTTCAAGTTCCACCTGTGACATACCATCTGACGTCACAGGTCAACGACCTTCAGCCACAGAAAACCAGTTGGCTTGACGATGTGTCCTGGATTGGATGCGAAATGTTGGTACTGAATAAACAAACAATTCCAGTAGAAAAGATTTAATTGCTTGTATTGTTCTTATAATTAACTTCCACTATCCCTTCAGAAATTCATTGTTGTTGTTATAATTCCATTTGCAAATAAGATGTTGGCTTTCAGCTGATAAGTGTACATGTACTGGTTTGTTTGGCCAGCCATGGAAAGACCTTAATGTGGGTGTCCTACATTCGAGCCTTGTTTAAACAAATGTAAACGTGCTTGGGCTGGCCATCATTGTTAAATTTCTGTAATTATAAATGAGGTGCATGTGTGATTGTTATATTTCTGACATATTTTACATTTTTATACATAAATACCTCAGCTTCTAAAAGTTTTTAACTTCATTAAATATGGAAGACAGTCATTATGTATGAATAATTATTGTAAATATGTTGCAGGTGCACACACAATTATATATTTACCACTGCCTGCCTGGATCAGTTGACATTTTCCTAATTGGTATATTTGACCCCCAGAGTGAACCCAGGACACAGTATGAGTTCCTTAAAGGACTGATTGAGATGCGAGATCACATGACCACAGCGATAAACCAGAAGGACCAAGCGCACATCGAGCCTTACATTTTTGAAATGTACATTGAACTGATGTGTCAATTTGAAACAAATACAGTACTCAACTACTTGCAGGTGGCTGAGGGCTACCGATTGGAGGAAACCTTGAAGGTCCATTTCAATAATTTATTTACTTATTGAATATTCATGCCTTGGTCTGTAATTAATAAAAACTGCCATAGTGATTGATATGAAAATTATACAACTCTTTTATTTATGTTTATCATTATATTGTTTATGTTTATTATATTATTTACATCTATTAGTATATTATGAATATTTATTATTATATTATAATGTCGCCATTACTACACTCGGCGTCAGTTTTATGGCGTATAATTTTTGCGAAGCAAAAAAATGTGCAATTAATCAGAGCTCAGTAGACTCAAGGAACAGAGAATTTGTCTAAGTTCGCCTAGTGGAAAACAGAAGATAACATAGTAGCCAAAAAAAAAAAGAAAATTCAGTCTCTTGGATTTAAAGGTGTACATTTTAACTGCTGCCACATTTTCACCTCAGAAAAACCTGTGCCTAATATCTTATGTCAAATATTCCTTCTAGATTGTACGATACTACAAGGTGTCGGATGCAACAGCATTTTTACTGGAGAAGGCAGGAGATATTCAAGGTGCATTTGGAATTCTCATAGAAGCTCTACAGGTCAAAGTCAGAATTTACATAGATTCTGTTGATACCAAAGACAAAGCAAAAAGTGAGTTTAGCTTTGACCATAACATTTTTGCTACACATTTTTTTTATATATAATTACTTAGTTTATCGTCAGTCATTCCTTGAATTTTTTTCAAATTCTGAAATCTAACTTTTCAAGAAGTAGTTATTGCATTTTGTCTACAAAAATATTACTCCTTGCTGTATCTTGTAATTTAAAGTCCTTGTTTTTAATGGCCCGAAACTGATCATCTGTGATATAAAAGCATTCCATTAAGGATTTAAGGTGTTAGAGCAAAAATTCACTTCGGCCCTCTAACCCATTTTTATGCCTACCCATGATCAAAGGTGTCTCATGAAGCAGTGAAGGAAATTGAACCAGGGACCATGAGATCTCTATGGTAGCAGTGGCTCCAGAAATTTACTGACAAGGGGTCCGACAGTAGGGTCCAAGCCAAGGGGTCAACGGCCCGGAATAAAAACTCCTTTCTAAGTTTCACAGGAAGAGTTTTTATGGCTTAGTTTCAAAATGTTCTTGTAGACCACAATATTATTATTGTTATTGGCAATCAAAATAACGTTGTTTGGATAGGCAAATTATTTTTTTTATTTTTGAGCCGATGACCTATTTGTTCGTCGGTTGACAAGTTCAGGCCTGTCCGACGGAGGGGAAAATTCCCCTGCCCCCGCTGGCATCACCACTGCTCTACAGTTCAGCACACAGATAGGGGCTGCTGGAGTTTGAAACACAATTAGACTATTGAGATACTTCTCCATATTGTAATTAAAATCTCTCTCTGTATATAGATCAACTTAAAAAATAAGTTCTACTTTTACTTTTGATAGCTGCCAATGCTCCCTGTATAAGTTCCCGCAAGTGTCTTAAGAGTAGTCATGTTAGCATACACATCTATGTTTCTTAACTTTTATTTTTACAGTTAGTCTGTGTATTTCGAATGCACAAGCTGTATTGATGGTGATTGTCCAACTTTGTCAGAGAAGTTCTTCAAAGATGGACGAGCCACAACGTCAGGTAAATGTTCCACATTATCAAATAATAATAATAATAAGATTTATAAAGCGCACAAATCCACTGCAGTAGTGCCTTGCAGTAGTGCTCAAGGCACTACAGGAAGGATCAAAAAATTACCATGAACCTAAAACTACAAGAGAAGAAACACCACACCATCACCGCACCGTTTACAGGCAATTTAAGGCACAGGGGTTCGCCTATTCATTACTCACAGGTGCTCAAGTAATGGGAGTATCTAACTAAAACAATTAAGCAAGCAAGCAAAACAAACCGGAGACAAGGAATAAGCAGCCGACAGCAGATGCGTCTTGAGAGCTTTTTTGAACAAAGCAGTAGACTGACACAAACGAATATTTATTGGCAGTTTATTCCAAAGGTGTGGAGCCGCAACAGCAAATGATCGATCACCCCATAAACGTGTAAAAGGAGCATGGCAGTCAATAGCAGACTGAAGAACTTTCTCAAAAGTCTCAACACATCGATCAAGAGTGAGGCTTCCATCCTCTATAACTGCCAATCCAGACTTAATCTCATCGCAAAAATCGGTCATATTTATAGCTTTGATATTACGTCGCTTTTAACCCTCTGGATACCATATTCTTTTGTAGTGCAAACCCTTGAATACCGGATTCTTTTGCAGTGTAACAAGGTTTTTTGCTTTTTTTGAGTAAACGTCGTTCTGGTGGATTTTTGGGAACTTTCTGTAAATTATACAGAAAAATGTTTCTAAAAACAAAAAAGCTTATAGAATAAGCTTTCATTTGATGTATAATTTATATTTTTGGGAATTTTTTTTCATAATATAATATAATATAATATATATATATAATATAATAGAAATTACAGAAAAATGCTACATATAAATTCAGCAAAAACCGAAAAAAAATAAATTATAGCCAAAAAAAATAAAAACAAATATAAAACATTCCTATTCCACACAGTTATATAATGTATTTACCCAACCATCCATAACTATAAGCGCGATCTTTCCATTAAAAGGCGTCGACTACCCTCAAATTTCTAGCCCTAGCCTCATCTTCATCAAGAATATCTCTGCCGTCAGAACTGCTTGAAGCCCCATCATCGCTTGAAGTCATCATCGCTAACAGGCACGTCTAAGTCTCGCACATCTAAAAATTCACCTTCATCGCTGTCTGAATCAAAAATCAGGTCAATCGCTTGCTCAGCTGTGTACACATCTTGTGCGGCCATTTCAAAAAAATTTTTGAAATTAATAACGATTTCAAATTGATATTTCTAAAAATTTTTATATAAGCGCATTTGAGTTCTTCACAGATTTCGAAAAACAAAAGCTTCACGCATGCGTGTTCAAAATTTCTGACGTATTGGAGCNAAAAACAGAAGAGCGATTTGAAAACCACCTATTTTTTAGTCACGAAATTTCGATTGCAGTCGAAAATGGGAATTTTCGGTTTGAGGTCAATTTCGACTACAGTCGAAGACGGTATCTAGAGGGTTAAGATGGTTGGAAGAGGAGGTAACAGAAAAAAATGAGGAAAAAGAAAAATAAACACTGTCCAAGGCGACAGCTAGTACAGCGTCTAGCACAGACAGGATGTTGCACAGTGTGCAACGGATGTTCCACTAAAGGATATTCAAATGTTGTATTTTAATAATAATAATAGTGTAGTTTTATGTAGCGCACATATCCATCTAATGTAAGATGCTCAGGGCACTTGATATGTGGACTAGGAACTCGATCAATGACTTTCTTCGCTCCCAACGGTCCCTTCTTGTCTGTGCTTCCCAGTAACCCGGTACCAGCAACTCTCGTCGTCCACCACAGGGGCTGTCTGTTCCAGTACACCTGGGTACCCTATACTCGTCTTGAAGGATGTACTGGGTTCATTATAGTGCACACGAGCCATTGTATATACTGGGCCTACGGTTTATAGTCCTTATCCAAGAAGACTTGTTCTACCACCAGAACCATAGGCGAGCGTGCCGTTCGAACCAGCACCGATATTATGGCTTTACTGTTGCTTGCGGCGCCCCTGCTAACCGCTCGGCCATTCGACTCACCAATGTATATATTTTTAGCCTTGTATTGCAATTGAATATGAATTTTGTAATTTATTTCATTGTGAGTTTTGTCCAGATGATGATGTATTCTGATTTTGATCTTTAGTATTTGTCATTTAAATCTTTCCATCTATTTCAGGCAATTTGGTTTCCTCTACTTGACCTAATGATGGTGTCTCAAAGGAAACTGAAAGGCACTGAATCTGAGCCACATTTCCATGGTAAATAATAATAATTATAGTAATAATAATTATTATAATACAAATGTATTGGTTCATTATCTCAAGGTCTTTAGAAGCATCTAGCAATTATATAATTACTTTTCAATTTTAATTATTGTTCAATTGTAATGAAACTGTTTTAACTATATAAATCTGATTTATGTGTTCATATTTTATAGATTTTAAAATGTTGACAACTCATGTTTTGAACAGCATGCTTGGATACATTGCTTTACCATCAATCTTGCAGAAAATTATGCAGGTGGGATTCTAAAATGTCTTTTCGAAAATATTCAAAAAATTATTAGAGCCTTATAGTAGTTCATATGTGTGATTAGTCACCAAAAAGTATCATGTCATCATGGGTATCATAAGTATATAAAACAAAAAAGTGCAAAGATTACACAAATAAAGAGATAAACAAACTTTTCAAGGGAACAAACTTAGTCTGACTGGTTAGATTTTTGGATAAATATTAAACATTTTTGGAAGGCTTAAGTGGGGTTTGTGTTGCAGAAGCTCAACCAACTGATAAATAAACTAAAATGTATCGTGTCAACTTTTTTTTAAGTGGTTGGAAAGGAGTTTGTATGATGTTTTAAACTTTAAAAGCCATTTTTTATTTAATTTTAATGTTATACTTGATACATATAGCTTATAAAATAGGTTGTGTACCAACATGTAACTGATTTTTTTTTTATTGAAAATCTTTTTCATCACTATATAAAATACTTCCATATATGGTAATAATTTAATACATCATTATGCATTTGAAAGTTAAACTGTCATTGTATACTAACTTCTAGCTTAGTTGGTAAACATTCACATGTACTCATATATGTTTTATTTTTAATTTATTTTGGTTTCACCTAAAAGTACTTAAATCTACTATTTATATTGGAGTTCCACTTTAAATCATCATCAGTAAGTGTACCTAAGTTTCACAATGTGCTCAAGAGACAATTGTTGACCGGAGATGTGGTGGTCAACTTCTGTAAGCTGCTGATTACCAAAGAGGACACGTGTACGTTACCTGGTAACATGGTATACATCAATCAGGAAATGAGTAGTTGAAACACTTCCTTAATTACCATACTGCCTCTTATCAAGAATTGGTTTTAATTTTGCAAAAATTAATTTAGCAACCATTCCCTTGACAACTTTGGCCAAGGTAGGGGTGAGTGACACATGTCTAAGTTAATCGATGCTAGGAGGATACACTTTTGGAACAGGAGTAATTTGACTGTATCTAAAATAATTAGTTCCGACTTACTGTGCATAAAATCTGTCTCTTATACACATCTCTTTCTCAGATTATCTTTCTTTCCTTGTTCTTTCTCATGTGACCTTTTCTATTCTAACATTTTTCTTTCTTATGATTCATTATCCATTCCTTTTCATCATATTTCTTAAGTTTCATGTTTCTTTTCCTTTTCTTATTCTTTCTTATG